AGCTTAAGCGAGGAAGACCGTCTGTCATCAAGCCTATTGTTGAGGTAGGAGGTCAGAGTCGGGTCAATCGATACAATTTGGACCGATAACTCCGTTATCGGTTCCCAATTTTGGTGAGGTTAACCTTCCCGCCTTGTCTCATCTCAGGAGTATCTTCGAGAGCAGACTGAGGTAAAACATCTGTTTTTCTGCCTCTCGCAAATCATCATAACCCTAACAAACAAGCAGTCATTTCTTCTTCCTTCTCTTTAAGTTACTCCGTCAAACAGGCAGAATTGGAGGCCCTTTGCCACTTACTGTTTTGAAAGTCCTCTCCTCGTTGGCATGCCATGGTAATAAATTTTTTTTTATTAAATTATGCCTTATATTCTTTTAGGATGAAGCGACTGAAATCGATGATCTTGATTCATTTCTGTGCTGAAAAGGTGCCATCAAGTTTAATGACACTCTAAGCAGAGACGAGTGCCGCAGCCTGGTAGCGTCCTTGTCTTCATGCCAGCTGCCCTTCCAGTGCGCCCACGGCCGCCCCTCTATTGCTCCTCTCGTAGACCTCCTTCATCTGGACGAGGACCAGAAGGTACTAGAACATATGGACACATCCTAAAAAAGGTTAAATGGCTCAGAAATCGGATCACGAGCATACATTTTTATTCTTGCAGGACTTCCAGAAACCAAACCTGAAAAGGCTAAGAAGAATGTATAAAGCATGGGAGCTTTATGGAAATAAATAAACAAGGTGTGCTTTTAATTTAAAAAATGCAGCTTACTGCAAACACAAAAAGCTTTACTAAAAACTAAACTGTTGTTTAAAAATCTTTTATAATAAAAAAAAATGGTTAGATGTGAAGAAGTCAGATTGTTTATTAAATTGAGATGCATCAAACAGTACAGTCATACTGTAGTTACCACATGCAGAAGAGAATAACCAAGAATACCAAGACACTATTTGCTCAATGTGATTTTAGTAATTACAAAATGGGAGAACTACAGTACCTCAGAGAAATATCCCCACCTTTGTTTAATGTTACACCTCCACATGTTTCATTGTTTTATCAGAAAAACCACTCAACCGTTTATAAATGTAAAGTTTGAGGACAGTGATGCAATGTCTTATTTTCTGCAAGTAATCTGAGCTGTGTGGCATGCATATATATCCCTTTATTGTCCCACAATGGGGAATTCTCTCTCTGCATTTGACCCATCCCCTTGGGGAGCAGTGGGCTGCCATTGCTTGGCAATCAGGGTTTAAGGGTCTTGCTCAGGGACCCAGAGTAGCAGTCTGTGGGGATCAAACCAGTTACTTGCAACCTTCTCAGAGCACAAGCGCACTGCTCTAACCACTAACCCAACATCCCTCTTATTCAGACAAGATGTAAAGATAAAATCTGGGCTGATATCGTCATCCAATATTAATTTTGAAGTTATGGCTGACAACCAGTATTTACCAATCTTAGGTTATATATTTCCCGATCCTATGGACACCTACATTCCTGCCATTCTTCATTATTTTAGTCACATGACCAAACAAAGCCCAATGAAACAAAAACAGCAACTACAAATAAATGTTTATTAATATACTGAAACCCAGTGGTAGGTGTCGCATATGGTACCTAGGCATTCAGTCGGCACACTTCAACTTAACCTACTTCTTATCCCTTGGACGTCTATTTGCAACAATGACGTGTCATGGTGTTAATATCACTATTTTCAGATTTTAATAACAGAAACCCTCAATAGTATTCAAATGAAATGTTACAAGCACAGGTATAACAGAGGAAGATTAGTGTGAGGGTGAATACAGAGATCAATTAGGCAAGAAGCCTAGTTAAGACAACAGCAACCCTCGACTCTATAACCACGGATTTATAAACATTAGCCGTTCAGATTCAATATGAATCTAATTACCAGATAAAATGGTGCATAAAGCGTGGAAATAAAATATATCTCAGTCACCAGAGATGCTGGTTATTTGTAAACAGAATTCATCCTTCTGTCTCTGTGTAGGAAGTCTTAGTATTTTAATTTAGTATCAGTCATTGAGGCCAGAAAAACTTTTAACAAAAGCAAAACGAATCTAAAATGCAGATCGTCGTTAGCTTAATTTGGCTGTAAACATTTTGCTGTAACTGACTAATCAGAGGACAGAAAATGTTAACGTAAGGATGGGCCTTCTAGCTGGCCCAGTGGGGCAAATCTGAAATCTGATTGGCAGAAGAAGATATTCCTTATGAATATTGTTAAAGCAACATCGACCAGCACTGCTGACTCTGGAGGTCCTGGGCAGATTTGACGGATGAAAAATCAACGCACCAAGGCTGAAATGTGATTGGACAAAAAATATACCGTAGCAACCACAGAAAGGTAATGGAAGCAGCACAGTCAAGACAAACACTGAAAAATTAAGACAATGGTTTGTGTGGACTAAATTAATACAGCTGGAAAGAAGAAAATCAAAGTTTAGGTTGTGAATGTAAGTTAGTGTTTTCAGCGCTGCACAGTCATCATATTTCGACAGCCAAAAAACTTTCTTTGTTTGAACATAATTGTATTCACATTCTCAAAGGGTAGCTACATTCATTTCAAGAAATATATAAATATATTTAGATATTTTTTGAAGTGCATTATTCAGCCCCAACTAATAATTATAATAATAATTTTAGAAACCACTGCAGGTCTGATGTTAATACTTTGGTCAGCATCTCAAACAGCTGCTTAAAAACTTCCAAAATGTTAGCAGATTTCTTTCGATTGCTTTCTAAACACCCCTGTTCTCATTTTTGTAGTTCAGTTACAAGTTTTCCTCTCAACTATTACTGTCAGCAGCTCCTCTTTATGCTCCCATATCCTGTCAGTTTGGGGGACGTCCTTGTAGTTGGCTGTTGTCTCATTTCTTTTACATGTTACAAATCATGGTTTAAAACACTGTGCTGTGAGATTTTTGAAACTTCGGACGTTGTTCTTTAACTTAAAGGTATTATGGAGGATTTTCACAAATTAAAAAAAAAAAAAAAATGTAAATGCACAACCCTGTACCCGCCCCTGAAAGGGAACCCCTAATTAAGGTGTGCAGAAGCATGCACGAGCCATTTCTCCTCGTGCACACTCTGTTTAAAAGTTGCTGTTCTCATAGCTCATACAAGCTTACTGTGCCTGAACCCCTAAATCCCTCATTCACTATATAGAGTCAGGAGTATACAGTGGACTTCATAGTGAACTCAGTTAACTGACCGCTTGGAGAGATGATCACTGCTACTTGCTCCCTGTTGGTCATGTAACTCCACCTCCATCGCGCGGTGCTTGCGCCATCTTTGTTATTAGTCACCGCTGTCTGGTAGCGACAGTGGGCTGCTGTGAAAGGAAATCTCATAGTGCTTTGTGCAAAGCATTCTGGGATATTTCTGCCTCTTCTGAGGCCTTTTTTTTCTTCTCATACACTTCATCGACACTTTTTGTCTTATGACCCTCTGCTGTTTTCAAAGAACCGTGGCGAGAAAGGTGAGCTTCAATTACTGTCTGAAACCATAGCTCACCACACGTATTTGCCTGAAAATGTGCATGTGCAGAAAAAGATGGCTAACGGGACAAGCACGTATGACGGCCTTACGTGAACATCTCACCAGAATGATTGACAATTAGGAGGACCACTTATTTAGATGATCCACCTGGAAACAAAAGATCGTCCTCTATACCTTTAATGCTTCTCACCAATGTTATCTGACCTGGACTGACTATTTACCAGTTAAACGACGTCTGCATCCAACCAGCTTCAGCTAATTTTCATGTTATTAGAGCAACAGGGCTGACTAGAAATGCATGCCACACTTTTCAGATTTATTATTTAAAAAAACATGTTGACTTAAACTTCCTCTGAACATTTACGTTTTAGCATGTGTCAGTTCATTATTTTAAAAGGTTTGGGTTTGCTCTGCGTCAAAATATTGAATGAATACTTTTGCAAATCACCATACCACAGTGCAACACTTGTCACTTGGGATGAAGAAAAGTTCCAAGCTTTTCCTCTTGATTGTATGCAATTTTTGCAGCAGATTTTTTTTTTCTTCCAACCATTTTCTATGATCTAGTGGAAATGTCCTTGAGATTTTAGTAGCAGAGGCATCCGGGCTTTGTGTGCGGAGATGCAGATGTTCAGGTGGGAGGAAAGGATGGTGCTGCTCCGAGAAACCCTCCCCCTCTGCTGCTGCATCCTCCTCTTCATTTCCGGGTCATGCCACGTGACTTCACTGCCCCCACATAAAAAAAAAAGTCCAAGGTCCCTGCTTGATGGATCAGTGATTTGGACAGTGGGCAGGAATCTTTGCTGTGATTGGTAGTCCAGAATAAAGAGGTGTCTGACATTGTTAGGGTGGGTCTTTACCTCTTAAAGCCAATCTGCTTGTTTTTGTTGTTTTTTTTTTTCTTAATCTGCCATGTAAACAGTTTGTAAAGGAGCATTTCTTTATTTATTTATTTTCAAAATATCCATCTTATATTAAAACGAAATAAGCTGCACAACAGTGATTGTTTTTTGTTAATTAAAATGCGTAATTCTTGCATAAACATTTATGAAAAATGTTGAAAATTAACCAGATCTGCTCCACTTGATCAATGTAAAAATAATGAAATGTATGTAAAGGTTACTTAAAGCATGTCGGTGCATCACTACCTACGTAATCTAAAGGTAGACATTAATAAGAGTCCTGCTTTATTTCTCATATCCGATGTGCGTTTTCTGTTAAATTACACAATGACGCTGCTTTACATGAGAATGTAGGCCCGTGGCGCTCAATCAGCACCCCCCCCCCGCCTGATCAGATAGTGGTACAGTCCTGGTTCATTCATAAAATTCTAGCAGGGCTTAATAGGAGGGGCTTGCATTCAAGTCATCCAGTTACCAGGTATATACCTGGAGAAAAGAGACGCTTTCTCTGCACAGCGGAAGTCAGATATTTGTCATTGAGCAGGACTGGTGTGGGTTTTATTTATTATTTTTTAAATCATCAATTATTGTGCATAATAACGAGGGAATATGGATGCAACCTTGCGGACAGAGTCTCCTGTCGGGACGCTTTGCCAGAAAACGCCAGAAGAGGAGAGCTCTCCAGCGTCAGAGAGCGGTGCCAAGGTATGAATGGCTTTGTTGATCATCTATTCAGCCTCCATATCTACGCTTTAACAAGCACATAAAACATTTGATCCCTACATCAGCGCCTCAATGCTTTCATTTTTAATTATAGAGATGGTGGGGGGGTGAGAGGAGAAGGGGTGATTGATGTTTTTTTAATTGATTTGGAAGCGCTTAATGTCAGCATCAAATGTTGACGCATTTATTGAATAGGAGCCATGTGCGCAAAATGGATGGGCTTTTGCACAGCATGGTGTTTTGCCTTGTTTTGGGTTCTGACGTCCTGGGACCAATTGTGAGCGTGTCGATGCAGCGGTTCATTGAGAAAAAAAAAAATAAATTCATTCAGGAGACTCCTCAGCCGCTCTGCGTCAGTGTTGACGTCAGGAACAATGATAAAGTCAAATATTGATCCGGAGAAGGCTATTTCTGGTGAGGGATATATATACATCAAAACAATATGATTTGTAGGTTTTATTGGGGGCTTTGATCACACACACAGAAAATAAAAAAATAATAAATATTAATCTTTTTTATGAATTTCATTTTCAGGAGGTCAACCAAGATATGAGTGCTCAGGACAATCCCTTTGTTCCAACAGTTACAGCAATATCCTCCACCCCAGATTTCCAGTGGATGGTCCAGCCTACAATTATTACATCTGTCTCCTCATCTCTGGGCAGCAAGCAAGCCAATGAACCGCAAAGCTCTCACAAGGCAACACCCAAAGCAGGCGGGAGCAAAGGAAAAAATGCTGCCAGAAAGGGGAAAACAGAGCAGGTGAGGGTCGATCAATGAAGCCCATCTGCAATCCAACCACAACAAAAAGAAAAATCTGTATTTTACATGATAGGATGTGTGGGCTGTTGTGTGTCTGCTCCTCAGTGGCTGTGCGCCTTCCTTAAGGATGTCAATTTAAATTCAGGTCATAGCAAGTCTGCAACAATGATCTATTTTTAGACGCAATGCAGGGAGACATGCTTTTGCACATTTTTCCCCCCCCAGAGCTGGAAGTGGGAATGGATACAATGGATTAGGTGATGAAGGCAGTAACTGAATTATTTCTTTCATCCCCCAGCTGTCTCCAGAGGAGGAGGAGAAGAAGAGGATAAGACGGGAAAGGAATAAAATGGCTGCAGCAAAGTGTCGCAACAGACGGAGGGAACTCACAGATACGCTGCAGGCTGTAAGTAAACAGTAATGCATTTACTCAGCTGTCATTTGCACTTACGGCTGAGTGTTTGTCCCTGTGTATGATTTTGGATGTTGATCTTTCTGAAGGAGACAGACAAGCTGGAGGAGGAAAAAGCAGCCCTGGAAACAGAAATAGCCAACCTGCTCAAAGAAAAAGAGCGGCTCGAATTCATCCTCACCACACATAAACCAGTGTGCCAGATCCAAGAGGAGCTTGAGACGATTTTAGAGGCTTCTGCTAGTTCCCCAGAGTTGCCGCCCAGCTCAGATGAGGATCGCCTTCAGGATGAAGGCATCCAGGAAGCTCCATCACTCCAGGACATAGACATCCCCAGTGATCCGTCCACAGCAATCTCTGGGAACTCCAATATCTTACTGTGCGCCAATGCTGAAATCAACATCTCCGACCTTGAGCCCTCCCTGGACATTAAGGAGGGGCTTCTAGACAATATGCTGCCTAGTTTGGAGGACAGAATCCCCATGGAAACGGCTCGATCAGTTCCAGACATAGATTTGAGCAGCTCCCTCGGAGTCTCGGACTGGGAGACCTTGTATAAGTCTGTTTCCTGTGACCTGGAGCCTCTCAGCACTCCGGTGGTGACTTCCACCCCCACCTGCAGTAGTTACCTTTCCGTGTTCACATTTGCATGTCCTGAGCTGGACTCTCTTACAGAGGAGGGCCTAGACGGCCTTAAAGGTGGTTTGAGTAAGGCTGAATCTCTCGATATCCTTAACTCTCCAACTCTCCTCGCCTTATAACTCAAAGAGGGAAATGATATCCCTGATCTCTCTGGTTTTTCTCTAGGTACTTGACAAAAAAGAAATCAACAACATATGCCCAAATATGCTGTAACTGTTCAAGGAATAGCTATAAAATGAATTGTCTTGTGTTTGACTAAGCATATAAACTTTGTTCTGATAGCCAACAGAGTGATGTAGCCAAAAGCATGGCTGTTAATTCAGCACGAGGGACTGACGTTTTGATTTTAAAACGCATGCAGAGAAAATTGAAATCATTTTCGAAGCTAATCAATAAGTATTCATGATCTGTTAATAGGTCTAAAGTGTACTGTGCAATTTGATGTATCTCTATGGTGTTTTTGTGCCAAAAATGTATTGATTGCTGTATTTAAATATTCATCCATACCTCAGTGTCATCAGCTGTGCTTTGACCTCATTGTTGAAATGTTGAAGGTTTTCCATGAAAACATCCAGTGCTATACACTATATATCTTATTGAGATGTAACTTTTATTTATTTTTTTACCTTTAAGATTTTGACTTGTTAACATTTTAAAAAAGAGAGCATTGATTGTTAATCTATGCTGCTGCCTAATAACAATAAATCTATGTTCCCAATACTGTTGGCTGCTGCCGTCTTAAAAAAAAAAAAAAAAGTTGGCAACTTGGCTCCATCTGCTTATTGAGCTGAATTATAAGGAAGTTTCGCAAGCAGACGTCAAAGATGAGTTTAAAAGTGCAAGCAAGCTTGTAAAGGCATTTATATCCCTTTAATAATTTTGTTTTTTTAAATAATTTTTTACATTGCAACCATTAACTTGAATGTATTGTATTGCATTTGATCAAAATATGATTTTGAAGTAATTAAAAACGTATTTCTCCTTAAAAACCTAAAAATAAAATGTGCCATTTATGCCAGTCAATATTTTAGCTAAAACTACAGCTGCAGGTATGTCTCAGCTATCCTAGCTCCTTAACTGACTAAAGTATATGTATATTCCTTGTTTTAAAGTAAGTCAGTTAGAACCAAAGCCTTGGTAAATTAAATTTTATCTTTAAGTCTTATATTCTCAACATGATTTATGTTTTTTGAGGTGCCCCCTGCGCAGAGGTTCTGCAACCGTCGTCGCGCACCTAAAAAAAATCCTGACTACCTGTTGGACAGTCGCAAACCTCAAGCGGAAGTGCACAGGCAAAAAGCAACTGTTATTGGTCCTTGGTATGCCTTTCCGGCTGTCTGTGTGGTCGTCCTTCTTGATTCGGTGCCGGGGTGCACCATTTAAAAAAATGGACAACTACTTGTAGGATGCCTCAGACAAATTATATAAAGATGCCAAGGTCTCTGCCAAAACAAAGTTCTTGTGACCATCCGCTGAAGTTCTCACGAGTTCTCGAATAGGCTCCCCCTTGTGCTTTGGCGGGAATCTTCTGTGCGTCCCTAGAAATTCCACACCGACGGTGCAGAAGCATGCCAGCAAAACTGGTTCACGACCAGACCCAAGCGACGATGTGATGTGTGCAGTTGCAGAAATCTAATCTGCCCTTCACACATTGAGGATAGCTGCAAATGGCATCCTCAGTACCTTCCTCTCTCTTACTGATGCTAGTTGGCAAAGCAGTGGCCCTCTATGGTATTTACCAGAGATGAAGAAAATAAATGGACTAAATGCTGCTTCCGGTCTCTAAAAACTCTGAACCCTACAGTTGCCTTCGCCTCTTTGTTTTACTGAAATCCCCAAACCGCGGCACTAAATGATCGTAAAGAGAGAAGCTTTTACATAAGCAAAGTTTGGTGTTTTTATGTCTGTTAAATAGAGCCTGTAGTACTCAACTAGCCTCTTTATACAGATTAATATGCTTTTTGATTTACAAAGAGAATTCTCATTCTCATTGTTTGCTCTGGCTGGAGTTTACATTCCATTACAAAGCCTGGACATTAGAGGCCAAAAACCATGTCCTGAACTAATAACAGACTCATCATTGGTATTAGGGACTTTAAAGCTACAGTGTGTAACTTTTAGCGACATCTAGCGGTCAGACTGCAGACTGCAGCAACATGAACATCTCCCCCCCCACGCTTCTCCCCCCCAACAGTACGGCGAGCGTTACGGGACAAAATGTCTTCCACGACGTCCGCATCACCTACCTTCTCAAGTGATGAGGTTTGTTTACATAGATAATTTTACAGATAGTATTTCATTAGTCTGTGTAGGGTATAGATTTCATGTAGACTTAAGATAATAAATATACCCGTTATTTTTTCTACATCGTTGTGACGTTTTGGCGATCTCGCAATCGCTAGTTTGTTGGCTCTGCGCTGCCGTAGCGCAAAGATGTCTGCCTCCATGGCTGCGAGACCCGCTCCTATGTAATTATAAATAACGAATTCTAAGGCAACGCAAATATTAAGGTTAAGAGGCTGAGCTCGTAGATGATGATAAATAACATAGTTATGTATAATATATAACATTTCTGACTGTATATCCCTGTAATTATTACACACTGTAGCTTTAACAGTGTAAACAACTCCAATAAGATTATAAAATACCTATTTCATCTCATGAAAACACACTCAACCAGTGTTATTCAGCTTTCATTGATGCATATCTGTCTTTCACCACGACTGGTTTGGGACTACCTATAAGCAGAAATCATTGAAGTGGATGAAGCAGTCAAAACAGGTGTTGCAGGTCTGCTTAGGAACCACATCCATTAATGAGCTTGACGACACGTGTCACTTGCTGTATCCGTTTTCGTAGGACATGTGTGCAGGTCAAGATATTTTGCACATACAACAACAGGAAGCTATGGCTCCGTTTACATCTCAGCAAGCTGCATAGGAACAAGAACGAGGCTTGGAGGAGGGGGCAGGCTGCTGTATAGGCAGGGCTATGGAGATACATGAGATTTCCTCCAGGTTCAAATGTTCCTCCATCAACCTAATCCCCAAGAGATACGTTATCACATGGTTAAATGAATTAGGTGGTGTCACACTGACATCTAGTCATGAAAGCCTTTGATCATCTGGCTTTTCAGTACCTAGAGGACAGCCTTGGTCCCCTGCTGGACCCTGCAGTTATTGGGCAAAGGGGTCAGCAGATGGTGCAGTTAGTTTGGTTACATATACAGTGAAGAAAATAGATGTTTAAACATTTTGCAAGTTCTCCCACTTAGAAATCATGGAAGGGGCTGAAATTGTGGTTGTAGATGCATGTCCACTGTGAGAGACATAATCTAGAAAAAAAAATCCAGAAATCACAATTTATGATTTATTTAAACTGCTTATTTGTATGATACAGCTGGAAATAAGTATTTGAATGACTGAGAAAATCAATTTTAATATTTGGTATAGTGGCCTTTCCTGTAGTTTTTCACCAGGTTTGCACACACACTGCAGGAGGGATATTGGGTTTAGGTCTTGAGACTGGCTAGGCCAAGCCAGAACCTTAATATGCTTCTTGCACAGCCATTCCTTGGTTATCCTGGCTGTTTGCTTCAGGTCATTGTCATGTTTGAGGACCCAGCCTCGACCCATCTTCAATATTCTAACTGAGGGAAGGAGGTTGTTCCCCAAAATCTCATAATACATAGCTCAAGTCATCCTCTCTTTATTATAGTGCAGTCGCCTTGTCTCATGTGTAGAAAAATACCTCCAAGCTTGATGCTATGGGAGTCTTGGGATGATACTCATTCCCTTTCCTCTTTAAGCTTCATCCATTTTTGCTAATTGATCATGTCTCCTCTGAAGATATGCATCCCCACAGCATGAAGCTGCCACCATAAGTTTCGCCAAGGGTATTGTGTGTTATAGTGTTGAAAATGTTATAAATCTATGATAGCATATATATATATATATATATATATATATATATATATATATATATATATATATATATATATATATATATATATATATATATATATATATATATATATATATACACTCACTGGCCACTTTATTAGGTACACCTGTCCAACTGCTCGTTAACACTTAATTTCTAAGCAGCCAATCACATGGCGGCAACTCAGTGCATTTAGGCATGTAGACATGGTCAAGACAATCTCCTGCAGTTCAAACCGAGCATCAGTATGGAGAAGAAAGGTGATTTGAGTGACTTTGAACGTGGCATGATTGTTGGTGCCAGAAGGGCTGGTCTGAGTATTTCAGAAACTGCTGATCTACTGGGATTTTCACGCACAACCATCTCTAGGGTTTAAAGAGAATGGTCCGAAAAAGAAAAAACATCCAGTGAGCGGCAGTTCTGTGGGTGGAAATACCTTGTTGATGCCAGAGGTCAGAGGAGAATGGCCAGACTGGTTCGAGCTGATAGAAGGGCAAGAGTGACTCAAATAACCACCCGTTACAACCAAGGTGGGCAGAAGAGCATCTCTGAACGCACAGTACGTCGAACTTTGAGGCAGATGGGCTACAGCAGCAGAAGACCACACCGGGTGCCACTCCTTTCAGCTAAGAACAGGAAACTGAGGCTACAATTTGCACAAGCTCATCGAAATTGGACAATAGAAGATTGGAAAAACGTTGCCTGGTCTGATGAGTCTCGATTTCTGCTGCAACATTCGGATGGTAGGGTCAGAATTTGGCGTCTACAACATGAAAGCATGGATCCATCCTGCCTTGTATCAACGGTTCAGGCTGGTGGTGGTGGTGTCATGGTGTGGGGAATATTTTCTTGGCACTCTTTGGGCCCCTTGGTACCAATTGAGCATCGTTGCAACGCCACAGCCTACCTGAGTATTGTTGCTGACCATGTCCATCCCTTTATGGCCACAATGTACCCAACTTCTGATGGCTACTTTCAGCAGGATAATGCGCCATGTCATAAAGCTGGAATCATCTCAGACTGGTTTTTTGAACATGACAATGAGTTCACTATACTCAAATGGCCTCCACAGTCACCAGATCTCAATCCAATAGAGCATCTTTGGGATGTGGTGGAACGGGAGATTCGCATCATGGATGTGCAGCCGACAAATCTGCGGCAACTGTGTGATGCCATAATGTCAATATGGACCAAACCCCCTGAGGAATGCTTCCAGCACCTTGTTGAATCTATGCCACGAAGAATTGAGGCAGTTCTGAAGGCAAAAGGGGGCCCAACCCGTTACTAGCATGGGGTACCTAATAAAGTGGCCGGTGAGTGTATATCATCCATCCATCCATTGTCATGCTTATCCCTGCTGGAGTCATGAGTGCTGGTGCCTAACTCCAGCTGTCAATGAGTGAGTCGCGGCGTACACACTGCACAGGTTGCCAGTCTATCGCAGGGCAACACATAGACAAACAAGACAAGCCACCATTCAAGCACACACTCACTACTAAGTAGAATTTAGAGAAGCCAATTAACCTAACAGTCAGGATTTTGGACTGTGAGAGGAAACCGGAGTACCCAGAGAGAACCGCTGCATGCCCAAGGAGAATATGCAAACTCCATGCAGAAAGACCCTGGGCTGGGAATCAAACCCGAAACCTTCTTGCTGCAAGGCAGCAGTGCTACCCATTGCTGCTTCCGGTCTCTAGAAACTCTGAATCCTACAGGCAATTATTTTGGACTTCAAAAAAGGAAACTAACAGTGCACCAGGTTGTCCTTGTTGTCAAAGAAAGCTGTGCCCTCTAAGAACACAGTGATGTTTCGTCATTTAAAAAATATGTGAATCAAATAATTATTTGTGATGTTATGACTGTGGCAGGATGTGACTCTGCAGATCTATAAATAGGTTTTTTCAATAGTTTTTTCCAGTAGGCTTACCATCTGTAATCCTACAATTTCTCTGGCCTGAGTAAGATTAAATTCTGTTTTAAATGATTTAATATATTTATATCGGAAAGTGTTATGTAGGGAGTCGTTATGCCCACCGAAATATCCAAAAATATGGATGAAGAAAGCTTGAAGGTGTAATCACATTACTACATTTGCAAAGTAGACAAATACAGACCAACTCAATTTTGTTTGAGTTAAGCACATTTTCATGTTTGTCCTATTGTGGAAAAATGTTCTCATTACTTTCCTCAAATATCTCTTTATTTCAAAAATGCTTTAAATGTTGGAAAGCCCTTTTTATATGAGAAAACACAGAAATAACCCTTTGTTTGCTGTCGCTGTGCCTTTTGACGCCCAGGTGTTGTTACATCCCGAAAAGAAAGCCAAACTGCCCAAGTCAAAAAAGGCGACACATACATTTATTAAAATGGGGATACGAGTTTAAAACTTACGGAAGAGCATTAGGGCCACTGAAAAAAAAAAAAAAAAATGTAGGAAGAGATGTGGGAGCATTCAGCTTCACTGACAAAGATGTGAGTTGTTTGAGAGGGCCAGTAACACACTGGTACAAAATTAAGAATTAGGCAAGTTTTTACGTGCCCAAGGGGTTCCTGGTGATGCTATTTCATTAATGGAAAAGCAGAAGGTGGTTAAAATAAGAGAGCTAGTCTCTAAAACAGACATGGCTACGGCTTGTTGCAAACATGTTTGTTAGCTGTCAGAATTCAGTCAGAATTCTGAGATTTAAGTCAGAATTCTGATATTTAACTCAGAATTCTGAGTTTGCAGTCAGAATTCTGAGCTTAAAGTCAGAATTCTGAGAAAAATTTCAGAATTCTGACTTTTTTCTGAAATTATACAGAAATACAATTTAAAAATCAGTTAACTTTTTAAATTTTTTTTCAGTGGCCCTAATCATCTTCTGTACAAACTAAACTGTTTGCGCCAATGGGATGATTTAAACCATTTAAATCACATGAAGAAACAAAATTACTTTAACAGGCTATGTTGCAGCTGAATCAAAATCTAAAAGAATTAAGGGTGTAAAAATGTTTTAAGGTTACTGTGGTCACTGTTGCAATGGTTTCTCTTTAAAACAGCAGTGCAGCTTGAGTGTCTTCATGGGAGGAGCGGTTGTTACTTCCCCTCTTCCAACTCCCCCCATACTATGGCTTCTTTTTTTTCTTTTTAACATCCCTGCTTACGTTTGCTTGGCATCGCTTAATTTCCGCATTCCCAAATCCTCCCAGACTGGGATCACGTTTAAAGTCGGTCTGATGCAACGATTCCCACTTTTTAAAATCTACTCTCGACCCTCGGCCGACCAGAAGAGAGGACATTTGTTGCAGCAGGGATCAAAGTCAGGTCGGTAAAAGAAAACTTCCCGGGAAAAGAAAATAGAGGAGAGCTGAATGATCCTTTGCGCACGCTGATCCGCTGCTGGCTGAGGCGCAGCGGATTGGCTGCAGCTCTGATGTTCTCGGTTATTCAGCGGCTTTTACGCTTTCTCTGAATTGTGGCTTACGAAGTAGACCAGACTCCTTCTATACATTTGTCTCTCCCTCTCTTTTTTTTTCATGCAAACTGCTTTTCTATTAGAAATATTCTACTCTATTCTCTAAATCCAGAACATAATGTTCTCATCAAAGCCATGCAGTGATGCTTAAAATATATGTGATTTTGATCCATCCTGCACACACAAAAAAAGCTGCAGGTAGCTTTAGGTGTTTGATAGATAGACAAAGTTACATAACATGAACGCCACAGTTGGAAAAAAAAAAATGACTTCCGCTTTCAAGTTGACCAATTCAGCAGCAGGCTATGCATGCAATGTGATCTGCTGGGAGATGACTACACATGTTCAAGCCAAAGCAATAAATTAGATCAGGCTTTTTCTGGGAAGAGAACAATTTAACGCATGCAGTAGCACAAAAAGATATATAACAAGGGTAAAACAATGATTTTAATTAGTGTCTTTGCACTAAACATAGTTAAGCATTAATATAATCTGTCAGTGGCTTTGTTTGCATAAATATTAGTAATCTTATAAATGTTTCTGTATATATATATAAAACATCATAATTTTTTATTGTTGTTGCATTATTTGGCAGGGTTGTGGATTTAAACAAAATGCCCCAATGTTCCACTTTCTCTTTTGGTGTGTTATGGGAACAGCTGGAATGAAAGTTATGTATATTCTTATTTGTGAGGCAGAGGCGCAGCCAGAAAATTTGAATAGGGGTGGCCAGTCAAAAACCAATGTAGAGTAAACTGAGGGGTGGCCGAAAGCAGGATAGGCGCCAGAACCTCAGGGTCAATCTCCACTGTTCCAACAGGAGCCAGCACAACATCCATATTTTCTAAATAAAGACAAACTATATTTCCTACAGCCTTTTGATTACAAGCTGTCTAAAAGGTATAGTGGACAAAATGTCTGGGGCAAACATCTTTTCCATTGTCATTACTTACCTACTTGTATCAAAAATTGTTCTGCATAACAAATTATATTACATGTACTAATTTTATAATATTATTAAAAAAGTTATTTATCTATGATTTAACTGAAAACTACCTGATGACTTGCAGAGACACACCATTTTCTCTTTACACCATATAACACAAATTTAGGGTCTTAAAAGAATGCTGTATATATCAACTTTAATGATAGTATTTTGATGTGCATAATTGACCACAGTGTTTTAGTTGTCTAGTAACTATTAGTATATGAAAAATTAAAGTGTTTATTAAGTGTAAACATTCCTCTTGAGAGTATTATTGCTGCCATCGTCTGTATTAGAAGGCGAAAAAATGGTAGGGTTGCCACAGGGGTGGCCATGGCCACCTCTGGCCCCCCATCTAGCTCCGCCCCTGTTGTGAGACTCATACTTAACCAGTTAGAGTACACATGATATTTCTCCATCAGTTCTCATAGAGTCTCAGATAAACCAGGTGTGGTGCTTTACAAAAATCATTCATACAGCCTTAACTGTTTTAACTTACAACCACTAATTTCTGTATATTTTATGGGAATTTGTGTTTAAAAGACCAATATTAATGTGTAATATTACATATTAATATAGGTCACTAGGCAAAATCCAATGTAAATAATCCAGCATTGCAATATAAAAAAAAAAGTAGTTGCTCTGTTACGTTGTTCGATTTGTAAACAAACAGCATCAGGGAAGATTGTATTGGTCCTTTACGGAAAAGTTCTTTGATTAGAGTGCATTTTCAGTTACAGCTGCACGGGAGTGATACTCTATTCCTAGACAATCAGAACATCTGCTAGTTATTATCAATTCAAAAAAACAACTAAAGAATTGACTCATAACACTTTAGATCTGTCAATATCCTGCAAAGCCATCAATATGAAGTCAGTTTCAAGTGCTTTTTATACTCTTTATGACATATTTTATTTTCTTTGACAATTTTGTGCAGTTTAGTCATTTTAACCTTGATTATAGTTTTTGTTGGTTTTACATAAATTGTGCTTTCTCCCTGGACAAGAGATGAAAAATGGAATTTTAGTTCTGACATATTTACATTTTGTTAAATAATGTGCATTTTCCCTACCAAATAAATAAATCCCTTGAAGAGAAGTGTGTGGAAGTTTAAATCAGATTTAGATAGCAAAACTCTATCCCAAGCTTTAGCAATTTCATCACCATTGTTGTTTATTGACGTTATGGCATACTGATACTACCAACATGCATCCAACTAAACTGACATGCTGGACAAAGAGAGAATTAATCAGGGAAGCAATTTAGAATTTCACGGTATGGTTTAAGGAGCAGCAGAGATCCACTACACAACAAACTGTTTACAATTCATATACTTCCCTAATTTGTGGCAATAAGTGTTTACCTTGTTAAAAGGTGCTCTGGTGAAATGAGACCAAGCCCAGTCAGCCTATCTACCGGTACTATAGTTTTTGACGTGTGTGTAAAAGACTAATACCATATATTACCTTGATCACAGCATGTAAACAGTGACACATGTAGCAAAGCATCATTTTCTGTTTCCTGGGAGAGGAAAGCTGATCATCATTCCTAGAAAGACGCAATCCTGGAAGAAACCTGTTAGTCGGCGGTGAAGGTTCACCTTACAGCATGATAACAACCTTGAAGATACAGTCAAAGCTGCAGTGTGCTGGTTGATTTCCAAGCATATTCATATATTAAAATGGCCTATAGCCCATAGCTGTAGAATCATTCACAGGTGGTCTCTGTTTATACCAAAAGAGTTTGTGTCAGCTGGTACAAGCATTTCCCCAGAAGACTGGCAACTGTATTTTACTCAAATATCATTCCACTCTAAGGATCTGAAAACCAGGGCTGAGAAAATCAATTGGATTATTCGTGATTAATCAATTATCGAAGTAATCATCAACTAACTTAGTCATTGATTAACTGGAATATAGAGACGGAAACAATCTTTAGCTGACAGAGCAACCTAAGAGCAGCAAGTATACTAAGATTGTAAAGAAAAATATATAAATATAAATATGTAATATGTATGCATTCAAAATAAGAAAAACTTTTTATTGGAAAAGGTTTAGCTTCACCTGTTTTGATTTAATAAAAAAATCTTCTTTAAGGAACTTTTCCTATCCGATTATTATTATTCCAATAATCGAAAAGTAATCAACAGATTAATCGATTTCCAAAATAAACGTTAGTTGCGGCCCTGCTGAAAACATTATAAAACATTATGTAAATCATGCATTGCTTTCTTTTTACTTGACAGAATTCTGAGAAAATCACAGGTAAAAGGATTTTATTTGGTGAAACTTGACAAAATCTTTAAAAAAAAAAAAGAAAAAAAAAAGCAAGGTGAAAAGTTGATTTAAACTTTGGACGTCCTTTTATTTCTGCACGAGCCAATTAAAACATCAGGGACTGTCTTCGTCTCTGTGCTGGAAGACAGCATAGATGTATCTTCCAGTCGCAGCCCTTCTGTGGTGTTTGATTATAGGTCTTGGTCTGCCTGGGCATCTGTTTTAGGAGGGAGTGACATTAATCTTGGAAATCCAGGTGAGGTTGTACTGATTTCCTTCGTGCCTGGCTTTGCTCACATGCTTGTTTAATTTTCCTGAATATATATATATAAAAAAAAAAAACACTAACAAGGAAAGCCGTTTTAGATGCAAAACCCCACACACTATTTTGAATGTCACCTTCTATTTGGAAGGGTTGTGAAACGAATCATTTTAGTTCATCTTGACCATATTATGATTTCTCTCAGGCTTCCAGATTCCACTTTGCTTACATTGAGTCTCATAAAGAGGAAACCACAGTTAACTGGTATTTCTTGGCTTTGCCTTCATTTCCCCTTGGAATAAAGAGGAATTTGTGTGAGTCTGGCGTTGCACAGTTGTTCATTCTTCTTTTCATCTCTCGGGATTAAATAAGGAAACTCTTTGCCAAGATTTTGTGAACAGTTTTACATTAATTCCTCCAAAACTGAGAAAAATAATACTAACAACTAAGCAGCAGCCTTGGCATCCTGCCTCTCTAACAGACTAGTAATTCATCTCCGGGAGCTGAGTCAGGGTGCTGAGAATGCAACCTGCTCCAAGACATTCAATATTCTCTTCTTCAAATGAAATGCGTTTTGGCTCAATTTTCAAGTAAACTAAACATTTCGGAGGTGCAACGAAAGTAAATTTGACAAGTTAAAAAATTAATAAATAATAAAAAGAAACAGTAAACTCCACACTGTTAAATATGTAGCATCAAAGTACATTGACGCTTTTAGAGTTATTACACCAAGTGAACTTAGATATACACTATGCAGAGTTAATTTAACACTAATTCAGAGCGGGACCAAATGCAATCTGATTGGTGTTAAATTTAACTCTTAAAGTGTCACTTTAATACTGCAAAAAACAAATGGATGGATAATGAATGAATGATAAAATGAGTGGTTAATACGCTGCAAAGCTTCATGGATCGAGGTATACTTCATGGTGGTGTGATCTGTAAAGACGCACTGAAACATCCTCAAAAACAAACCCTGAAATAAATCACTGAGAACTATACATTGGTTTGTGTTCCACGTGTTTATGTGGAGGGAGGAATGCTTCATGTCTCTGAGGGTCATCATGGAGCTAAAGCTTCATTTCTTTTGGGGCTTTTAACTGTGCATTTGTAGGAATACAAAAAAAATATAGGATTTGTGCGGACAAGTTAGAACATGTTGATTTGTTTTCTATTCTTATCTATGCACACACAGACACACTTGATTTTTTTGTCCAAAGCTTCATAGCATGAAAATCACGTGCTTTTTAAATCCACCACCAGGCTTCTTGCATAACTCTTAATGGATATTTGAATTGCAGATGACTTTTTTTTAAAACTGGTTATTTTCCTGTCAGACAAGCTTTTGAAGCATAGTTTAAACAGTTGCTTGCAGAGAAAAATTGTTTTAGAAACACACCGATAGCCTTCTTTAGTCATAAAATTATTTCATTTCTTGGGTTTATCAACTTGTTTGAAAACCTGAATCTGTCCAAGTTTAAACCATCTGGGTGCTGAGTGCAGGTGAAGATAAAGAGTCATCTTAATGTTGGCCTCTTTGTGCAGTGCACCAGTAATACTGACAGCTAAACAGACCCTTATAATGATTCTCCCACCACCATGTTTAACACACAGTTTAAAAGCTCCAGAGACTCCATCAAATGCTGTCAGTCTGACTTTATTCCAGAATACATTTGGTCCAACGCCATCAGACTCTTGAACTGCTGAAAAAAAACTTTAAATCATGTCACAAACTCTACATCATACTGATAAGACCAAACCAAAAATACCCCATATTTGCATCATATATATTAATGCTCTGAACTTCCATATCAATGCATCTATGCTCCGTGTTTTTCTTTTCTTCCACTGTTTTCATTTGATCACTGTTGCACTTTATAGAATTGAAATGTTCATTTACTGTCTGAAAAGCTGTACAAAACAAAATATCGTTTTGTATACAAACTGTGTATGACAATAAAAGTTGTCTAAGTCTAGCACAAAATAATATTGTGAAAAATAAGTGATTTATCAGATTTCTTATAAATGGAAATTTAAGAAAATATGCCATACATACACTCCTCAATTTCCCTGAATGTTAAACTGGCTCTAGTGTTTCTACTTTTGAGGGTGATGTTATTGGTTAGATGGTTCTAACTTAGACACAGTTTGGTGTATTAAAAGGAAGAAAACCCCCCAAACACATTACTAGATATTTTTTATATTTATAAAGCAGGATCAAATTCTATTAAAGGGTGTTAAACATAATTTAGTTATTATCCAAAGGTATTGTTGTATACAGAAATATTTAAATGTAAAGACTAACTTTGTGGTGTCCAGTTTGTTGAAAATATGTATTTTCTGCTCTAATACATTTTTAAAGTGAAAGCATTCCAGGTTCTTAATTGACTTGCTTTTGGTTGCATCTGAATGTTTTTTTTTTCGTTGCCTCCTATAGCTGTGGTCAAGGCTGAGCCTGACGCAATGCCAGGACAAATCCCAGATCCCTCCGTGACAGCGGGCTCCCTGCCCAGCCTGGGGCCGCTTGCTGGGATCTCTGCCACCACGCTGACGGACAAGCTGAGGTTTGGCGATCTCCATGACATCGGAACAATGTTGTCACCCCTGCTTTTCCTGGACACTCAGGGAAAGAGACCAGTAGTCATCAAAACTGAGGTATACAGGACAATCTAAGCAAATGGCGAGTAGTGCATTCCCAGCTTATCTGTTGCTTTGGTAAAATGTTCAGCCATTAAAAGCGTCATTGAATAAAAAGATGCATCAAAGCTATTTATGCAGATCAGTAAAAAAAACAAAAAAACACTTGGAACTATTTTACATTAAGTTAAATAAAACAACAAACATTGTCGTGTTCTTTTTTTTCAAGACTTAATGTTAAAGAGCAACAAAAAGTGTAACTCAATGTGTTAAACCTACAGGCTATTTGATTTAGCAAAACTCCAGTTCAACTGAATCCTTAACACACAGGAATTGGCTTTTCCTACCACTGATGTCTGGTCAATCCACAGCCAACGACCTCTTTTGCATATTTTAAAATATTTTCTATTGGATTTACATCTGGACTTTGACTAGGATGCTCTGAAACAAAATATGCATTGCTTGGTACCAAGGCTTCCTAAACATGTGCATGCCACTGTCCCACAAACAGCATTAGCCTCTGACTGGGAAGCCGCTTTATAAACCATAGAAAATGCCACCTAATTAGTTATATATATATAAGATATATATATATATATATATATCTTATATATATATAAGATATATTTACTTTTCCAATGCTTTGCTTACTTTTATTAACTATACAGTAATTATTGCACTTGTTTTAGATAATAATATGAACTAATAGTATTTTACACTGTATTCTCACAGAATAACACACTTTTTTTTAACAACCTATTAATGATAAGACCACAGCATTAGCAATCTAACCTCTAAGTGTGTTTTTAAATACTGGGCTTTATGTGCATCATAACCATATTGGTATCATTGGCCTAATGTAGACGTGCTGTTTTCTTTGAGTAACTTTAAAATAAAAATAAAAACGTGGGGTTTTATATCTGTCAATAAAAATGTCAGAATCTGTAAATGAGAAGAGACATAAATACATTTTAATAAAAAATGGTTCCAAAAATGCATTGATATGGTAGTTCAGAGCATTAAATATATACAGTATGGTGCTACTTTGTGTTAGTCTATCACAATATTTTTTTTCCACTAACGCAACCTAAAGTATGAGGCTGTAACGAGGCATATTTAAAGCAGTTCATGTGACCGCTATTATTTTTCTCATGTCTTGCTCTTTAGGGGCATCTATTGGTTGTATCAGGGTGTGGCTTTAACAATAAACGAGTAAAATGAAAATTGTACAGCAAAGAAAGCAGGGCTTAATGCAACATTTTTCAATTCAGTTTTTCTTTGATCCTCATAAAAAATGTAATTCAAAATCATATTTTGTGTATTAAAATAGACTTTGATGTCTTTCTGGTATTGAATGGTAATTTGTCATTGCTTTATGTTTACATAGATAAGTTTAACTAAAAAACACTTTTAACAATATTATAATTATGAGCAAACAAAAATGACATGTTTATCAAGATTTGCAAATTGAATGGTATATAAGCGTTAATGTCATTATATCATTATTTCTGGTCATTATAAAAATGTTGACTGAAACATAGCAAAATCATGAAGAACAACTAAATGACAGTCCTGTATTCCTTTGCTGTGCCTTTCCATAGAGAGATGAAGAGGAAGAGAGGAGGAAACGAAGGCGAGAGAAAAACAAAGTGGCTGCAGCTCGATGTCGAAACAAAAAGAAAGAGAGGACAGATTACCTACAAAAGGTAAGACATGTTCACTGCAGTGTTTCACAGTTTGAACCTTTTATTTTTCGATTGTTAAAAAGAGCTCCTCTTTCATTTCCCAGGAGTCAGAAAGATTAGAGGTGTTAAACTCTGACCTTAAAGCCCAGATCGAGGAGCTGAAGCTGGAACGCCAGCAGCTCATCCTCATGCTTAACCGCCACCGCCCCACATGCATCGTCAGGACGGACAGCGTCAAAACCCCAGAGAGCGAAGTTAACCCCCTGCTGCAGCAGCTTCAGACCAAGTGAACAAACAGGGACTTTCCTTTTTGTTTACAGTTGAGAAGAAGCAGCCAGCTAACAGCACTTCGTTTAAGCTCCTTCTCAGAAACATACGAGCAATGCACCACAAAGAGCTGAGCAGCTGGGACAGTTTCAGCGGATCAGTTAAATTTAAGACTCCTCATTTTTTATTGTGACATAAAACAAGAAAATCTCAATGCATTTTTTTTTTTTTTTTGGTTGTTTTACAATTTTTTTCACATTTTTTACTTTCCATATGAAGAAAATGGAAAATTATGCAAAACCAGTTCATTTTAAACCATCATTTCAATAATTTTCTTTTATGTCTAACTTTACATGCGGTAAGGTTCTGCACGTTAGTCAAGTGTTTTAATATCTGATGCAATTTTACTTTGAATACATTAGATCTCCTAAACTGGATTGAGGAAAATCTACCATGTTAAAGTTGGATAAAAGCATTTCATTAATATAAGGTTGTGTATTAACCAAGCATGATGGTGAAAGATGGAAACAAATATATATTTTATATTTAGAAAACTATACAGAAAACGGCACATTTTCTTCTGGCCCTTTGCAAAACAACCAAACCTCTTTATTGTTTTTGGCGCAGGCGTCATTTTCAAACACTCATATATAAATTCACAAATGGTGTTTACATTGTACTTAATTTACTGTTTTCATATTATTACAGCCAGTTATGTTTTATATATTTACACTTTTGTATATGTTGTCATTATAAGCATATAAGCTACCTGGAAAAAAAAATACAATTTTTTATATTTTCAGATTAAATAAAATGTTTAGTTCCTTTTTTATCTATTTTTTTGTCTTTTATACATTTTCCTTACCTACGTTTTTGCCAAATACTGCCATCTTGTGGCCATTGCTTGAATGAATGAACCCCTGTTTAAAATGGTTTAATGAATTTCTTAGCTTAAGGACTTCAAATTATTATCAGGCTCATAGCTCACAGTCTAAAGCTCATAGTCAGCAGTCTTCTGCTTGTAGATCATTAGTGAGCCCATTAACAAGGAACTCATTCATTACAGCCAAAGGGATTTAGTTGAACAATGAAGATTAACTGAGTAAAAAAAGAACAGAAAGTTTCTTCTGGTTTACCAGGAACAGTGTTAAGAGGAACTTTAGTGAGCATAGCTGTGGTTGAACAAGGGCAGTGCAAGAGAAGAATGAGTCTGCATGTTGATGCGTTAAGGCTAAAGTACAACCAAAAAAAAAAGGAAAAGGTACCGAAAAGTACAGAAATTCACTAAATGTTAAATATTTTAAATAGGTGTTATATGTAAACACTTTCACAATCTTTTGGGTTTACGTATATAAAACTGCATAGAAAGTCATAAAAAAAGAAAGAAATTACTGCAATATCAAATACAGTATTAAATAAGTAAATATCAAAATTCATAGTAAATGCAGAATGTTAAATTTGAACTGCCATACTTGGTCTTATTTCATGAAATCATTAGATAATAATCATATCTGTTTATGTTATTTAGGCATGTTTTTCATAGGGATGTCCTTTTCTTTAAAATGTTCTTAAAAGTTGTACATGCACAGTAGAGCCTCTACAATACAGACGTATAGGAGAGGTCTTGGTGCAGGAGAGGTGCACCTGGAGCATACTGGAATTGTCATCAAAGTCATGCTGGTGATTGACAGGTCGAGTCATGGCAGTGAACTCCCTTAAAACAAACTTACAAAAACTGTTTGAACCTGATTAGCTGAACATCAAAGTTAATCAGCAAATTCAAAGACAGATAGAGACTCTACACTCTGTCTTTTCTCAGGACCTGGTTTAGCTACAAGGCTTGGCTATCTGCATGCAGAGAGGCTAATGCTTTATTCTGCTTTCCCTGCCTCCTTTTTCAAATGTCAGGATCTGACCCAGCATGAATATAGATAGGTATGATTTAAAACACTTTTTAGAAAAGGCAAAGACGAATTACCAATCTGGGATTCACGTGGAAAATAATATAATACAGTGTACTTATTCTAGCTTTTTTCTTAATTTGCAAAGTTGTTCTTAAATAAACTCATTCTCAAAAAATAAATAACTTTTATAAATAAAAAATATATAGAGCTGACTAATAGCCTCTCCATTAGTAAACTGGTAGATATTTTTTTAGGTTACTGACACAATATTGGACCATGCAAAACACAGATTTGCATTCACAAAGCCTCAGATTAAAATTAAAATTAGAATAGGTTTGATTTGTTTTTGGTATACGTCTATTTCAATTTTATAGTCCCACCACGCTTGGAGAAAACCCCACCAGCTGTTACTGAACTGTGGCATGTCTGGCTCTCCATATTTAGGGGTGGAAATAGGTAAAAGGAAAAGCCTCAACAGTTAGCAATCAGAGGCGTAACCAGAAAATTTTAATAAGGGTGGCCAGGCAATAACCTCAGGGTCGATCTACACTGTTTCAACAGAAAAATTAACGAGAAAAACACCCATATTTTCTAAATAAAGACAAACTATACTTTTCCACAGCCTTTGCTAACAAATAGACAAATATATTCAAACATCTGTGCTTTCTAGATAAAAGGTATTGTGGATAAAATTCTTTCAGGTTTGAATTTTGGGCGAGCATATTTTCCATTGTCATTACTTACCTACTTTTATCAGTAATCATTCTACATAAAATAGATTTTTACAATTACTAATATCTACATAAATTGATGATTAAGTTTGTATTAAAATAGTTATTTATCTATGATTTCACTGAAGACTCCTTGATGACTTGCAGATACACATCATTTTCTCTTTACCCCATAAAACACAAAATCTATTTCTGAAAAGAGCATGCATTCTGTACATATCATCTTTAATGTTGATGTGCATAATTGACCACAGTATTTTTTGTTGTCAAGTAATTAATATATAAAAAATATATAAATGTTTTGAATATTCCACTTGAGAGTATTAGGGTACATTTACACTGCAGGCATTGATGCTCAATTCCGATTTTTTGGTGAAATCCGATTTTTCCGTGTTGCCGTTCATATTTCATAATATATGCGACTTGTATGTGATCTTCTGTGTGAACTGCAGTCATACAACGCAAGTGTCCCACATGCTCAGTAGAGGACGCAATGACGTCACAGGCCAGCGTGCTCTTTTTTCCCGGAAGTAAACATGGACGGTAGTGCCGGCACGCGTCTAGCGGTCTTTTCCAACCATAAAGACACAATCTTTTCAATATGGTTAAACATAAATACTGCTCTCTGTATCATCATCTGCCATAGTTTTTGTTTTTCTTGCCGTTTCTAAGTCGCATAATAGTGACCTTTGTCGGGTATTAATGACATTCAGGTTGGATGAATGCGTTCACACACAGGTCGCATTTGAAAAGATCAGATTCGTATCGGATTCAGGACCACATAGCCAAGTGGCCTGGGTCGCATTGGAAAAAATTGGATCTGTGCAGTGTATTCTCAATATTAGTTCGTATGAAATCGTACGAAAAGTTATGCACCGTAATTTCGTACGTTTTAGACGTTTTTTTCATCGCATTTTGTCGTATTTTTACGTCTTGCCTCGAGACAAGATATCCTTGCACATGCGCATCTTACACACCATTAAATTACATAGAATTTAACATAAATTTAACCCTAACCCTGACCCTAACCCTAAGATACAAAACAGCAAGCAACCTAGTTAGAGACCTGAAGAAGTGATTATTGCACTGTTTTTCCCAGTTTTACGTCTGTTCGCGGATCTGTTTTTTTCGTCTGTCTGTCTACACATGCGCACTGATCTGTATTTTCTAGGAAAAACTGTATTTTCTAGGAAAAACGTCCAAAACGTACGAAATACTGTGTATAACTTTTCGTACGATTTCATACGAACTGATAATGAGAATATGTTGAACTGTGTTGTTCAGAGAGCTATGAAAAGATCAGATCCAGGTCGCATATGGGCAAAAAAATTGGATTTAGGTCACTTCAGGCTGCAGTGTGAACATAGTCTTACTGTTGTCACCATCTGTACTAGAGAGAAAAAAAGGTAGGGATGGCCAATGATTGGCACAGGGAGGGCATGGCCACCCCTAGCCTTCCATCTAAGTCCGCCCCTGTTAACAATTCCAGACACACAAACCAATGATGCAAATGGCACAACTGAGCTGAGTGAACCAATGCCTGTTTGAGCAAAGTGACTAATGGGATAGAAAGCAGGTGAAACTAATTGAGAGGCAACAGCTGTCAGAGGAGCAGAACATGAGAAAATAACTAACCTGAGAAAGGAGAACAACCCAGCAATGAAGAAACCAAAAACATAAAAGCCTAAATGATCCCAAACCGCCTCTGTGGTTTATGGCCCTTCCTTGTTTCAGCAGCTGGGAGGAGTTGGCTAAATAGATCGTTTTTCTTTTTTTTTCCCGGTATTGATTCAGCTTCTGAAGAACAAACACGTCCTCTGGAACTACTGTGCTTCTGATTAATTCCCCTTTTGCTAAAACAGCCTCTAAACTTCCTGATTATTTGGAGCATTTCTGGGCAGAATCACGTGGAGTCTCGGTTTCATTCATTGCTTTACATTTCAAAGGCCCTCCATAGAAATATTTTTTTATTCTTATGAGTTTGCTCCTCGATGGATTTTTGTCACAACATGAAAGACGACCAAGACGCAAAGGAGAACGATTCAAGTCTGGTTAAAGACGTGAAGATCCAGGCGGACGATCCAAGCAGAGAGCGCGCGCTCCAGACGCACCTCTACAAGAGGCGCTGGCTGATGGCGCTCCTCTTCAGCACCTACTCCCTGAGCAACGCTTACCAATGGATCCAGTACGGGATCATCAGCAACATCATCATGAAGTTCTATAACGTGGATGGATTCTCTGTAGACTGGCTTTCCATGATCTACATGCTGGCTTACATCCCCTTCATATTCCCCGCCACCTGGCTGCTGGAGAAGCAGGGGCTGCGCTTCACTGCGCTGGTGGCGACTGCGCTCAACTGCGCAGGGACTTGGATAAAGGTGAGCAGCGCCAGACCTGACCTGTTCTGGGTGACCCTGCTCGGACAGTCCGCCAGTTCCCTAGCTCAGGTCTTTATCCTCGGAATCCCTTCAAGTTTGGCTTCGGTGTGGTTCGGTTCGGATGAGGTTTCCACCGCCTGCTCCATTGGAGTGTTTGGGAA